TATATATATATATATATATATATATATATATATATATATATATATATATATATATATATATATATATATATATATATATATATATATATATATATATATATATATATATATATATATATATATATATATATATATATATATATATATATATATATATATATATATATATATATATATATATATATATATATATATATATATATATATATATATATATATATATATATATATATATATATATATATATATATATATATATATATATATATATATATATATATATATATATATATATATATATATATATATATTATATATATATTAAAAAAAATATATTAAAAAAATTATTATAAAAAAATTATAAAATAACTTTCCTGTTTAATATATTTTAAAAATAAACCTATCAAATATAACAAAATTTCTTCTATACAATAATTTTCAAAAATTAAATTATCAAATATGTTATATATTTTAAAACATTTTAAAATAAATATAAAAAAAATTTGAGAACTAAAAATTAAAACTAATTCAAACATAAACATATATAAATTTTTTATTTTTTAATCTTTGAAACTGTAAACATATATCAATATAGAATAGGTGGAGTAGCTCAATTAATATATATATTAATTAATATAAGTTTATAATCTATAAGTTAATCTCTATCGATAATATTTATTTATATTTATATATTAATATAAATAAAGTAATAATATTTATAAAACAACCATTTTTAAAAAAAATATATCAATATAAAATTACAACAACTCCAAATAAAATAGTCCTTAATTAATATTTAATAACATACGTCAATTTAATATATTTACAAAATCTAAATTAAAAACATTCCATATATAACTTTTTAAAATAGACTAAACAGTCCATATCTATTTTGATAAAACAATAATCTATTTATTTAATATAATATATATAGGTATTTTATTTACTTTAATGGTTTTTTCAACAAAAAAAAATCTTTAGATAAAATCATTAAATTGACTAATATATTTTTATTTAAAAAAACTACTTTATTATATTAAAAACATATGATTTGTATTTTTTACTATTATAAAAATGAAATTTACTTTTTTTTTACTATTAAAAATATGAGATATTGTTTGACTATTATAAATATGAGATATTTTATTGACAAAAAAAAAGAGATTGGTATACAACACTTTTGAAAGATCAAATTATTTATATAAATAATAGATAGACACAAGAGATAGAAAGGAGAAGTGTGGAAGCAATTACACTTTTACAATTAAATTATAAACTCATTCCTAATCCACTACTGGTGAATGTTTGTTAAGATAAGAAACAAACCCCACACATGATCATCATCAATATCATGCTCTTCTCTCCCTCTCTCTTTCCTACCACTATTCCCTTCCTTTCTACCTTCCAATAAAAAACATCCACCTCTAATCAGACAAAATAAACAACGTTTTTATAACTCTCTTTGTTTCTTCTTCCACTTCCATTCCATCATCATTATTTTAACCACAACAAACTACCAACAACCGTTCTTTCCTCTGTCTTTTCCATACTTTGCCGTTTCTCGAAAAAACAAGACCAAATTTCTGGGTACTTTTTCTTTTTTCTTCTTGTTTATGTAAAGTTGAATATGTTCAAGAATTATCTTTATTTGTTTCAATTTTTCTATCAGGTATTGTGTCCTTAAAGTTTTGTCTTGTGACCATTCAGTACGTAACTTTTGACGCTGGAGAACAAAAATAAACACTGTCCTTTTTTTTCTTCTTGGAAAGTGATGGAACTTGCGGAAATTCCTGAGTCGGTAAGAATCTTGATTTTTCCGATTTTTTTTATTCTTTTTAACTGTTCCATTGAATTTGAAATTGTATGTTTCTTCCTATTTTATAATAATCTCTGTGTTCTGTTTTTTTTTAGGATTTGGTTTCTTCTTCTTGTGAGGGTTTGGAATCAGAGCAGATGAACATAGGTTCGCAGAGAATTTTGGTTTCGGATCACATAAACGCGTACCAATACTCTTCTGAGAAAGTAGATAGTTTTGTGGTTGATATGGATTCTTTCTCTTCTAGCATCAATAAAGATATCGTCAATGCCAATTCAAGAACAACAGTAAGAATTTGATTTTTTTGTTTTTGTTTTTATGAAATTTAAATTATATTTTATGTTGTCATGATTATTTAATTTTATAATATTTGGCCCATCTCATTAGTAAAACAGAGTCAGTGTCATGTTCTGTTAATGGAATTTTTTTTATTAATGTAACCTCATAATTCTTGTATATATATTAGTATCTACACCTCTTAAAAATAGTTGTCAATGATGCCATATTTATGTTAAAATTATTTATTTTTTTCAAATTATTAGCCTGTGTTAATGTGTCAATGCAATGTTATATTCAGTAATTGTTTTTATGTATTGAAAGGTTGGTGTTGTGTTCTATGTTTGTTTTGTGTATGCTCATTTTTTGTTATGATGGACAATGACAAATTAACCTAAATGTTAGAAGTAGAATTTCATGTTTTGACAAGAGTTCGAAATAAGTTTGTACTTAATCTGAGAGTGTACTCTCTTGTTTGAATTCAACGAAATGTCAACAAGTCGTGTATTAAGTCAGTTTTTCCGGAGTTTGTTCTGATTTTAATTAGACTCAAATAGTAAACGGTAGAATTAGACTCCAAATTAGTCAGTTTTAAAATCAGATATCGAATTTAAAAAAAGTTTATACTTTCATGAAAATTATGAAACTTAAAAACATATATACTTTATCAAATTTTGTTAAACCTTTGCGGCCATTAGAGTCTAATCCCACGCCTTCTCCATTAGCCTTACAATTACAATATTTTAATTGATCAAGCGTTGAAGATTAGATAAAGCCAGTTAATTAACTTTGTGTATGACTTACTCAACTTCCACCACCAAGTTGCATTCTTAAGTTGCTCTTTCTTTTAATCTTTGCACTTAATAATTTCTTTGACATGAATTATTTATTTTTTTAAACTATATAATATAGTTGCAGAGGAGCCTTTCTAGGAAAGGATCTCAACGTTGGGGTGATAGGAATGTGAATGGTTGTAATGGTGCAGTTCAAGACAAAGATATTGTCCCTACTACATGCTCTCCGAAAGGTACCTTAATAATTCCAAAGTGTTACCGACTAGTTTTTTGTATTCTAACTAAATTAATGCACTAAAATGTTTGTTTTTTTGAATTTATTGAGATTTGGATCATCTGGGTTTGATTTTTTTATGTCACATGAGTGTTTAAAGAAAAAAATGTAAACAACAAAAATACAAATAAAATCATGAAATAATCCAAATTTATTTTTGTTTTATGTTATAGATAGATCTGGACCGATAAATCTCTGGCTTGAGATTTTGTTTTCATTCATGTCTTGTTGAGTTGAAAAACTGTTTCATGTTACTATCAACTTTATGTTTGTTTGTTTTCCTTGTTTGACCGTTATGGCAAGTTAAGTTCATTTGGTCACTAAATTCAAATGGTAAAGTAATTCATAACAAACATGTTCTTATGTCAGTATCTCATTTCATACCAATATGATACATTATGTAAACTGAAAATTATGAGAGTTGTTGAAGATTAGTTAATGGGAAAAGAATAAGAAACCTATTATGTAAGTCCACCTTAGCTATCGTCTGCAAATTTTAATTCAACTGAAAGAAACACATATTGTTACGTAAATATTATTATGTTGGACGTCATCACCAAAATTCAAACCTTAGTACTCATAATTGTATGCGTGAGTTTCGAGTGATTATTAACACTTTATTTACAAATTCAATTTAACCTCCAACTCTTTTAACCCTTAATTCAACTGGTTTTAACCGGTTGATATAAGTTTATGGCTCAATCATATAGAAGGCTACAGAAGAGATTATACAAGGTTATCATATGATATGTAATTAATATGTTTCTGGTACACCATACTTGGGGGCCACATGTACTGTCAATAATTATCAGAAATTTGGATATTAGTGTTGTGAATTTGTAATGTAATGTAAATTGTAAACTCTAGTTTTTGTTTCATTGAACTGTAGCTTTTTTATTAGGACCCTCCAAGTCAACAGTTATGGCGGTAGGGTCCATCCAGAATTCAACAAACACACAACAAGTAATACATCATCAAATTACTATCACAACAGCTAGTAGTAACATGTGTAACACCAACACAGAAAACAAATGTATGACGACGAGGAGAAACAGTTTCGGTAGATCTTATTCATGGCTCCTTGATCCTAAGAAAATTCTTCTTATCTTTGCCACATTGTAAGATTCATCTCTTATTTATAAACTTGTGTTAGTCTTAATCCTTAATACACCCTCCGGTCGCAAATTTCACTTTTTTTTGGTTTATCTAACAATTGATGTATCTGGATTATATATAGACTAATACATCAATTGTTGAATGAATCAAAAAAGTCAAATTCACTTATAATAGTGACTAGAGGGTGTACAATTCTATGTGCATTGATTAATATGTTTTGAAACTTGAAACAGGTCAAGCGTGGGAACGTTATTACTGATATACTTGACTCTTAGTATCAGCAAGCATAATAACGGAGTTGAATATGGAAGTGATTTGCAGTAGTTATTTATTCGACTGCCGCGGCTTATACAGGATAGAATGTGATTTGAAAGCTTGTGAATGCTAACTCGAACTTCCACCATCTTTATGTCGGAATCAGTTACCTCTTCTGGAGGTACAAGAGGGAGTTAAAGGATGAGGAAGTTACTTTTTTTCTTTTTCTCTTGTTAGGGTTTATATACCTCAGCTTGTATCATTCTGTTCTGTTTTTGCTCTCACATGGAATCATAATAGCGAATGAAACTTTTTCCATATTTGTAAATTTTAAAGTTAAGTTAAGGGAAAAGTAAATTGAAAAAAAAGCAATAGTGCAATGCTATGAGCATGAGGCCCATGAAAGGTACCTAGAAGCTACAACACAAAAGTGCAATACCGTGAGCAGTGGGAACTAAAGAGACATTGCATGCTCAATGAGATTTTTGGTCTTTATCAATAAAGCTGTAATCCACTAGATGTATTTTTCAGGGTCAAATAATGTGATGTACAGGGAAACTTTTGGGAATAAACTAGATGTGTCATGTTTGAATGATTTAGTTTAATTTGGCAAGTTTCTTATGTTGTGTAGTTGGTTTACATAACTAGAAGCATGTGGACATTAGATCCTTTTCAACAAAGAACCTTTATCTTATGATTCATGTTTGCCACTAACAGAACCAAACAAACCTGATAAAAAAAATTAAATCCTAAGTCCTTAGAGAAGGAGAAAACGTTGTAATTGCTAGCTGAATTTTGATCTTACAAAGAAATAACTTTAGTGGATGAGGTTATTCGAGTAAATTTATACATCTAACAATTTAGAAAGCTAAATAATGTATAAAAGATTTTGGATTTAACCTCATCTTTAAAGTTATTTCCTGCGACTACGAGGTGTTGTCCACTTTGGGTGTGAAAACCTTTACGACTTTATCCTTTAAAAAAGACGCCTCGTTGAGTTGAAGTGTATAAGTATTGCATATAAACAACCATTAACTTCAATTTTCAAACAATGTAAGACTATTTTAGCGAGTCCGGAACAGTTGCCCTAGACTAGGAGGCAGGGTGCGAGTATGTAAGCATATTGACCTGATCCCTTCTGGCATCATTGTTCTAACATCATTGTTCTGGCTGATCTCAAGTCCATGCGACTGCGACTATGAGATATTATCCGCTTTTGGTGTGAGAACCCTTGTGACTTTGTCCTTTACAACAGGTGTCGCGTTTCGTTAGGTTAAAGCATATGAATGTTGTATATAAACTACTCTTAACCTTGATTTTCAAATAATTTGAGACTATTTTGGCAACCAGAAACACAATCTTTAATCTAATTCTAATACCGTGTTAAATAAATAGACTTGGATCTTGTTCCAAAAATTAGCTCAGAAATTGAAGGTGTTGTTCAAACACAATACATCTATCAGCCTGAGAACATGAGTAATATAAGACTCCAATACAATTTCAATAGTCGTAATGTTGCAGTAAAATATTTAATACATACACCCCAGTTAGGTGAACAAGAACAAATCATAGAACTCAACCTAAGAAATTTGTGGCTTTGACTAATTTGTCAATGGAGAGGAATGAGAGAATTAAGGAAACTCACCATTCAAATGCCCATGTTTTTGTTTCTGCCTACAGGCATGTTTGGTACACCAGTTGTCTCACTTAAATACATGAAAAACCTATATAGGTTGCATGGAGTCTAAGAATCTTAATATGTTTAGCATGTAATGCATTTTTTTCAACAAGTGAATGCAAACACAGTGCATGAATTCTGTATCCCACCGGATAATTTGGTAAGAAAATACAGATATCGTACATAACAATTAAGTATTACTGGAACCATAAAGACAATTAGGCAAGCAAAAAAATTTCTATTAAAAGCTCCTTAGGACAAATTTTCTATATCTGACTTTGAAATCCAAACCATGGAGAAATACTTCACCAATTTGGCAGGACCAGAGCTTCCTTTCCCTTGAAGGAAAGAAAACTTAATTTCCATTCATTGTATCTTTCACAAAAGAGAGGCCACCGGCACTCATCCGATCGAAACCACTTTTCAACAGCTGGGCCTAATAAAATACTGTTCAGAATTAACTAGCATTCCTATTTCTTAGAATACTTACAAATCAAGTTTTGAAATTGATAATGATGTTTCATAATATAACAGAAAGATGTATGATACAAAAAAAGGCATACCTGTTAGTGAAAGTATAGGACAATCAGTTGATAATGAGAATAGAATGTTGTAATATCTTTTATTTGATTTCATAGATGTTTATCATTATTCAGATAGAGGAAGAGTCGTCAACATTACGTGTTTTGTATATATTTTTCTTGTTAGGCCTAATATTTAAATATTAGAAGGTGTTTGTTATATCAACCTCTAATAACTTGTAAAATTAAGATTTGTGAAATACATTTTATAATTTTCATTTCATTGTTTGCATACGTGATTAGCATATTTAAAAAATTTACCACATGATTTATAGCCAATTGAGATGGAGCAATAGCTTTGTTTGCCACAACTTGTTAAATGTTAGCACAGAAAATGTGATAAATTTCATAAAAGTAATAATGCAAACATTGAAAATGGAAATTATAAATTATATTTCCGAAATCTTTATCATACAAGCTAATGAACTTCTTTATTTATATGGTTCAAAGTAACTAACCTTAGGGTAGATATAACAATCCCCTCATAATAACTAACATTAGACATAACAATAAAAAGATATACACAACACCTAAGGTTGGTTAACACAACTCAACCCGTGACAAACATTTGTTTGTGAATCCATATTTCAGGCGATAGACATAAATCAAGAGGATATGTGAGTGGAAATTGAACCCTGTGATCAAAGAGTATACAACTTTCGTGATTTACAATATGGAGTTGAACAAGAGAGAAAATCGCTAATAGCGTTTTGAGATCCTAGACATTGTGCACTTATGCTTCCGGTCATGGAACAGCCTCAATACAACTGCTGCAGTTTCTTCTATGGCTTTTGCAGTCACATCTGTATTCATTAGTAAATAAATTTAGACTTCATCAGCATTGATTTAAAAGTATTATTTTGCGAACTCCCTTTGAAATATAGAAATGTAAAATCGGGCGTAATTTAAACATGTTACCAATAACCGGCCAGACAGGGTTCTGAGCAAAGAGCTTTCCTGCAAATTCAAGTTCCTCTCGGATATAATCCATCTCCGAGTAATTAGTCCTTGATTGTGAACTCAATCCCATAGTTTTAGCCCTTGTTCTTCTGATCTCCTGTAAGACACTCTGATTTATAGTCAACCCAAAAACCTTCTTTGGATCAACCTGAGAGAGAGTCTTGGGCATATCTAGACCCATCACAATCGGTACATTAGCGACCTTATACCCTTTCTGAGCAAGATAAATAGACAAAGGCGTCTTCCCGGTGCGTGAAACCCCGGTAAGCACAATATCCGCCTTTGCAAGATTCTGTGGAGATGCCCCATCATCTTGCTTGATAGTGAATTCAATAGCTTCAATCCTACGAAAGTAATCATCGGAAAGCGGAACGCGAGAAGCTCCGCGAGGAAGGCCAGATGGAGATGCGCCCAAATGAGAAGCAATGGCCTCCGTAATGGGTCCGAGTACATTCGTAGAAGGCACACCCCATAATTTGCAGGCCTTCTCAGCGGCAGAAGACAATGAAGAATCAGCTAATGTATACACAAGCAATGCATTTTCTTTCACTGCTTGCTTTATTATCTCCAATAACCTTTCCACGTCATCAACCTAATCAACAACCATAACAATCTCAACATAATTACAAGTTCTAATAAAACTAATGATGTTTCATAGGATAAAAAATGGAGGATTATAAAAAAGTTACCCCAGAAAACAAATGGGTACTAACGGGGCAGCCACGATCAACCAAGCAGTAATCGAACTGTCCCAAAGCGGCGGTGACGGAGTGTTCAGCGGTCCAACCGGTTCCATCGGAGACAATATAAATGGATTTGGCCATAAACTCTGAACCGTCTTCACTAACGGCGTCATCTGAATCAACATCTAAGGAAACCGTAGGTGGAGATTGGTTGGGTTCTAGGGTTTGGGTTTGGGTTCGTGAACTAGAGCGGTCCAGTTTTCGACCGGAACGTATTGCACGGGCCCTGGACCACCGGTTCAGCTGGGGACTGGCCTTGGGTTTGGATCCAGTGTCGTTGTTCTTGGGGTTGCAGGCTTTGATTGGTACAACTGGATGGGTGTTTGGATATAATTGGGAAATTGGCATAGCTAGCAACACTTTCGGATTAGTAGGATATTTTATTTTGAAGCAACTTTCAGATTATTCATAAAATGCTACGACAACAATAACTTTTCATTATCAACTTGTTCCTTTCTAATTATAGTTTTAAAGGAAGTTTCTACTATAACAAAATTCGAGTTGTTTCTTTCTAATTATAGTTTTAAAGTTGATTCTACTCTAACAAAATAAATCAATAATTTAATAAAAACCACTTATTTCTTCTAGTATTATTAGCCATTTATTATGGTGGCTTTTAATTGAGGATAAAAGTCCATTACATACTTCTCCCAGCTTCTGATTGTATTTGTAGAAAAAGCAAAGACCTTGATTATTCAAAATATTTATAAAAAAAACAATACGTGTATCAAATACATGACTTAGGACATAGATAAATCTGACAGCTGATTTGCTGTCTTAAAATCTAGTGGGATGAAATGATAAAGTTGAAAAATGGTTTTTGGCATCAATTCTTATATGAAAAATACTCTTTTTAATTTAAGAATCGTAGAAGGGTTTTATTCACCGTCTACTTTATTTTTGCCAGCTCGCTTCTGATATGTTTTTATTAAGGTTTAATTCATCATTAAATCTCTTAACTTAATTTTAAGTTTTATTTTAATTTCTTATTTAATAAATGTTATATTTTGATCTTTTAAATTAATTTTGTTAGTCAAATTAGTCTTTTCTATTAAATATTAAGAATAAACGTTGAGTTGTGATGATGTAGAATGTCAGCAATACAATAATTAAAATATTGACTCAGTAATTTAATTAAGAGACTAAATTGAAATTTTATAATAAGTTAGACAACGGAACAAAGAAAGTAATAAAACTGTAATTAAAGTGATTAGATCAAAATTTCATAACATTTTATCAAGTCATAACGTGTTATTTATCCGATCAGAAATTTATATCAACATAATCTTGAACTTAATAACATCAAACTAGAATCTCGTTACATTATTTGATTCAAATCAAATACATTAAACATGTACTAAATAATATAAGATGTTCACATAGACAATTACAAAAGGTGTACACAAACACTACTCTAAAAGGTTTACACAAAAAATAAACACTATTTCTTCAACCTCTTTATTCCTTTTCTTCATAGCGGTCTCTTTTGTAATTGTTAGACACAAATTCTTCGATTTCTAAGTGTTGATCTTTTATACATGAAAATATAAAAGAAAGTTAAATATGTACACCTAAAGAGAGTTTTATATTGTGATGATTTAAGGTGAAGAAACATGAAATGATACATACATACATCAATAGAATTTTTGCAGGAGATAAATTAAAAAGCTCTTTAATATATTGAGATCAATACAAAGAACACACCAAAATTAAGAAGCTCTTCAATATATTGAGACCAATGCATTAAGTTTTAAGTCAGAAATATTCATTTATTAATCAAATTACTTTATAATCCTGTTAATGGTGGCACAACCACCATGGATCTTCATGAAGATGAAACAGTTAGAGAGCAAATACAGTATAACAGAAAGCTGTTATTGCCAACTGTCAAATCTTTATTAGGGAATTATAAATTACAAGAGATGTTTATATATACAAGGATAACTTATCTAATACATACACTAAGCTGATGTGGCAAGTAATAGAAAAGGAAATAAGAAGCTATGCTATACACTAACAGCCCCCCTCAAGTTGGACTTTGGATGTTACAAAGACCCAACTTGATCAAAGACTTCTTGAGAGCTGGAGAATGCAGAGGCTTAGTGAGCATATCAGCCAGCTGATCATGAGTAGATATGGGAAGCAGATGAATAAGCTTGGATTGTATTCTTTCATGAACAACATGACAATCCAATTCTATATGCTTGCTTCTTTCATGAAATGTGGGATAATGAGCTAAATACACAGCTGACTTGCTATCACAGAAAATGGAAGCAGGATGATCAAAATCGATCAATAGATCATGAAAAATGTATGTGAGCCACTGAATTTCACATGTAATAGAAGCCAAAGCTCTATACTCAGCTTCAGTCGAAGATCTAGATGCAGTGTGCTGCTTCTTGGATTTCCAGCATAGCAAAGAAGAACCTAACATCACACAATAACCTGTGATCGACTTCCTTGTATCAGGGCAACGAGCCCAATCAGAATCAGCAAAACCCATGAGCTTGAGTTCACTAGATGCAGAAAAAAGTAAGCCAGTTGCAGGGACAGACTTGAGATATCTCAAAACACGAATTGCAGCTTGAAAGTGAGGAATTCTAGGTTGAGACATGAATTGACTTAAGTGTTGTACAACGAATGATATGTCTGGTCTAGAATTAGTAAGATATATAAGCCTTCCAATTAGTCTTCTATAAGATGAAGGATCTTCTAAAAGTGGACCTTCAGTAATAGAGAGCTTAATGGTGGGATCAAAGGGGACAGAAGAAGGCTTGGCTGAAAGAACACCAGCATCTTGGAGTAACTCAAGAGTGTACTTTCTTTGGTTGAGAAATATGCCTTTGGATGACCTTGCAATTTCAAACCCTAAGAAGTACCTTAGTTGACCAAGATCTTTAATCTTGAACTTCTGATGCAGAAGCTTCTTAACCTGTTGAATCTCAGCTGAGGAGTTTCCTGCTAATACAACATCATCAACATATACAAGCAGAGCAGTAAAGTGAGGTGCCTCATGTTTAACATAGAGGGAGTAATCAGCTTGAGATTGATGATAACCAAGGGAGATCAAAAAAGCAGATAGTTTGGAGTACCACTATCTACTAGCTTGCTTAAGACCATATAAGGACTTTTGTAATTTGCACACTTTAGAAGGATCAAAACCAGACAATCCAGGTGGAAGAGACATATACACATCCTCATTCAAGTCACCGTGTAAAAAAGCATTGTTAACATCTAGTTGTTCTAGATGCCAACCTTTTATAGCTGCAATGGAAAGTAGGACTCTAACAGTAGTAAGCTTTGCAACAGGGGAAAAAGTGTCAAAATAGTCAATATCTTCCATCTGAGTGTAACCCTTTGCCACTAGTCTTGATTTGTACCTTTCTATAGAACCATCTGCTTGGTGCTTGATCTTATAAACCCATCTACAACTAATAGGTGTTTTACCAGCAGGCAGATCCATCACAGTCCATGTATGGTTTTGCTCAAGAGCCTTAAGCTCCACATTCATGGCATTAACCCAACAGTCATGTTTGATGGCTTGGTTGTAAGTTTTAGGTTCAGTAGTAGATAATATGGCACAACAAAAATGTTTGAAAGCAGAGGAACATTTAGCATAGGACAAAACTGAAGACAATGGATAAGCAGTTTTGGAAGAGTTTATTATAGGTTTGTTGTTAATATGGTAACAATGATAGTCTGTTAGGTAAGATGGAGGGTTGGAGACACGAGTTGAGTGTCTAAGAGGAAGATTATGGGAAATATCAGAATTGTGGGGTTGTAATGGGACTACTGGTTCTATGATAGAAGTAGACTCAAATGAAGGACTATGATGAGGAGGATTACCTAAAGGAGAGTTGGAAGACTCCCTAGGTGAGTGCATAAAGTCACTGCTAGTTGTATTAGGACTGGGCACATAAGACTGAGCAGAAATATCAGGCTCTGCAGAAGTAGCAGAGGATGTGCCATCAGGCTGAGCAGAAATATCAGTATTGTAGAGGACTGATGTGATGTTTCAGGGACATCAAGAAAAGGTAAAGCAAGTGGATCAGATATAGGGTTTTGGTTAGACTGGGAGCTGACAGAAGTAGGTTTAAAAGGGAACACAGTTTCATAGAAAGTAACATGTCTTGATAGAAAAATATTATGATGTTGAACATCATATAAAATATATCCTTTTGTACCATCTTTGAAACCTAGAAAAACAGATTTTCTAGCTCTTTGATCAAATTTTGTCTTATGTGGCAAAGTAGAAACAGCATAACCTAAACAACCAAAGACCTTTAGGTGAATGATACTAGGGGGTTGATTATACAGTTTTTCATAAGGGCATTTTAAACTCAACAAAGGAGTAGGCAATCTGTTAATTAGATGAACAGCATGAGCATTACAAAAATTCCACATGGTGAGAGGAACATGAGAATGGAAATAAATGGACCTAGCTACATTCAGAATGTGCTGGTGCTTCCTCTCTACCACCCCATTCTGTTGAGGTGTATAAGCACATGACTTTTGGTGAACCACACCTTTAGACAAAAACTCATCAGATAAAGGGAGAAACTCAGTCCCATTATCAGATCTAAAATATTTCAATGATGTGTGGAAATGGTTTTCAATGTATGCTAAGAATTGTATCACACTTTGCTTAGTTTGATCTTTAGTTTTCAAAAAAATAACCCATGTATACCTACTGTAATCATCAACAAGGGTTAGAAAATATCTATGACCAAGCATGGAAATGGTAGAGAAAGGACCCCATATATCAGCATGTAAAATTTCAAAAGGGAAAGTAGAATTTGTAATACTTTGAGAAAAGGGAAGTTTCTTCTGTTTACTAAAATGGCAAGGATCACAAGGAAAAGTATCAGTATTACATTTTGAAGGAATGAAAGGAAAAACTTTGGATACATTGTGTAATCCTATATTGGATATATGGCCTAATCTTAAGTGCCAAAGAAAAGAATCATTATGCATAGAACTAGTACAAGCATGCTGATCATATGAAGAATGAAGAACATATAGTCCTCTCTGGAGTCTAGCTGTACCAATCACTTCCATGGACTGATTCTGCAGAATTTTGCATGAATCATTAGTAAAGTGAACAACACAATTATTTGTATGGACAAGTTTGGCTATTGAGATTAAGTTGACATGAAAAGAAGGAATGTATAAAACATTATGAAGAACAAGATTTGGTGATAAAGCAATACTGCCAGATATAGATGCAGTGACATGAGATCCATTAGGCAAACTAACATGAATAGGAACAATTGTGTTGTGAGATATAAAAATGGACAAATCAAAGGCTATGTGATCAGTGGCACCAGTGTCTAGAATCCAAAGTTGGG